TGTGATCATCAAAACATGAGAATATTCAACCTTGGGCCAACACTTTGCTGCGTCGAGGGTAGTTAAACTCTTGGTGTCGAGGATGATCGATGTCTTGGCGTCGAGGATGGCTACCTTTAGAGGGGAGGTAGGGCCATGTGTCATGCTGTCGACGCTCCACCTGTCACCCACATTTTCCCACACAACATGTAATATGGTATCAGAGCACATTTCCGTTACCTAAATTCTCTTGATTTGCTCTGCCCTTTTCTTGATTTTCCTTCTGATTCCTTGTTCATACAAGCGATTTCATGGAGTCTTCAACATCTCCTTCTTCCGGTTCTACCAATTCGCAACATGGCAGATCCGCCATTGAAGATCCTCTGAATCCTTTCTTTCTTCATCATTCTGATAGCCCAGGACTTGTACTTATTTCACAGCAGCTTACTACTGACAACTATACAACTTGGAGTCGCGCGATGATGATATCTTTATCTGTGAAGAATAAACTCGGTTGCATCGATGGTTCCATTCTGCACCCAGACGGTACGGATGTGAATCTTCTTAATTCTTGGATTCGTAATAATAACATAGTTATTTCTTGAATTCTTAATTCTGTTTCCAAAGAAATTTCTGCTAGTGTGTTGTTTTCTGATTTTGCCTTTGAGATTTGGATTGATCTTCGAGATCATTTTCAGCAAAGTAATGGCCTTAGAATTTTTCAATTGCGCTGTGAATTAGTCAATCATGTTCAAAATCAGCAATCTATTGGTGTATATTTTACGAAGTTAAACGCGCTGTGGGAAGAACTGAGCAATTTTTGACCTTCGTGTTCCTGTGGAAAATGTTCTTGTGGAGGTGTTAAGGAATTAAACCAGTTTTTCCAAGCAGTGTACGTTATGTCCTTCCTTATGGGATTAAATGATAGTTTTGCTCAAGTTAGGGGACAACTTTTTCTTCTTCTTAATATGTTGCCTCCTATCAACAAAGTTTTCTCTCTTATTTCTCAAGAAGAACGTCAACGCAATGTTATTTCTCACAATAGCTCAGGAGTGGATTCTGTTGCCAGCTCGGCCTTTGCAGTCAAACATGATGGATCTAAACAGGCTAATTCTAATAATTCTGATTTCTAAAGTTCTGGAAACAATAAGGGGCAAAGGAAAGAGAGGTCTTTCTGCACTCATTGTAACTTTCATGGACACACCATTGAGAAGTGTTACAAAATTCTTGGGTATCCACCGGGCTATAAGCCTAGGCAAAAGTTTCAAAATGTTGTTGTCAACCAAGCATATAGTCAACATGATTCTCAAACTAGTTTGGGCCCCGAAGATGGAGATATAGGAGGTTTTCTCAAGACTTTGAGCAATAATCAATACCAGTAATTGATGACAGTGTTATCTAGTCATCTGGCTACTTCTATGAAAGATGTTACTCCAACAAATGCTTCCTCTTCTTCATTCTTGACAGGTATTTGTTCTTCTGTCTCAATAAGAACTGGTTTTTCTTTTATAGATCATTGGATAGTTGACTCTGGTGTGTCTAGGCATATTTGTTCAAATGCTAACTTATTTCTATTCATGAGGTCCCTATAAGATTTTATTGTGAACCTGCCTAATAATGCTCGAATTACAGTCAGTATGTCTAGAGATGTACAGATTAATTCTCACTTAGTTATCAGAAATGTTCTGTTTGTTCCTCAATTTCACTTGAACTTACTCTCTGTCAGTGCACTTATGATTGATTCCCAGCTCATAGTAAGCTTCTTCCCTGATCACTTTATCATTCAGGACTCCAACAGTCAAAAGATGATTAGTAAGGGTGATAAAGTTGAAGAGTTATATGTGCTAAGTACAGAACATTCAACTCGAGGATTTCTTTCAGTCTTTGAGTAATAAGAATTTTTCAGCTTCAGTTTGTGATTCCCTAGTTCTAGTTAATAAAGTTTCAGCTCACATTTGGCATAGTAGACTTGGCCATTTATCTTTCAAACAGTTGAGCACTTTGGCTTCTCAATTACAGTGTGATATTTTCAGGTGTAATAATGATAAACCATGTTATATTTGTCCTATCGCAAAATAAAGGTGATTGTCCTTTGTTTCTCATAATAACATGTCTTAGTTGCCTTTTGACTTGGTTCATTGTGATATATGGAGTCCCTATCATATTAGTGCACTTGGCTATCAATATTTTTTTGACAATTGTTGATGATTATACTTAGTTTACTTGGGTTTTTCTGCTTAAACACAAGTCTGATGTGATTACATCTATTCCCAGGTTTTTCAATTTTGTTGAGACTCAATTCCATGTCAAGATTAAAGGTTTTCGATCAGATAATGCCAAAGAATTGGCTTTCACATAACTTTTTCATGACGAGGGAGTTTTGCACCAATTTTCTTGTGTAGAGACCCCACAACAAAAATCAGTGGTTGAGCGAAAGCATCAACATTTACTAAATGTGGCCCAGGCTTTATTTTTTCAATCCAAAGTTCCAATTACTTTTTGGACTGAGTGTGTTATGACTATAACTTTCCTCGTAAACGTGACACCTTCTCCCTTGCTTCGTAACAAGCCACCATATGAACTACTGTTTAAAAGACCAGTAGATTATTCTTCATTACGAGTTTTTGGATGTCTTGCCTTTGCCTCCACTTAATCTGCTCATCGTACCAAGTTTGATCCACATTCTAGGTTGTGTGTCTTTCTTGGTTATCCAAATGGTGTGAAAGGGTTAAGCCTTTTGACCTAAACAGTAAAAGTTTCTTTATTTCCATAAATAAGGTGTTTCGTGAAACTGTTTTTCCCTTTTCCTCTCTTCCTGTTGATGAGCATACTATTGACCCTTTTCCTAATATAGTTCTTCTATCCCCAGCCTCTGACCATCTCACATCCTACACTTCACCTACTTCACCTAACCCGGCTGCTTCTCCTGCTCAATCTCCAATTCCGCAGTCTACTTCACTTCCAGTTCCTCCTCCTGCTTCTCTTAGGCGTTCTTCTCGCCCTACCAAAACCCCATCTTACCTAAGAGATTTCCATTGCAATTTTTCTCATCCTTCCACTTCTGACATCTTATACCCCTTATCTAATTACCTATCGTATAACTCTCTTTCCCCTTCACAAAAAACATTTGTTATGGTTGTCTCTTCACAGTTTGAACCTCAATTTTACCATCAAGCTGTTCCTTTTCAACACTGGTGTGATGCTATGAAATCTGAGCTCGATGCCATAGAATCTAATCACACTTGGTCTGTTGTTCAGTTACCTCCCGGCATACATTCTATTGGTTACAAATGGGTGTATAAAATCAAGCACAAGTCTAATGGCTCCATTGAGCGCTACAAAGCCCATTTGGTAGCTAAAGACTACACTCAACAGGAAGGTGTTGACTACATTGACACTTTCTCACCAGTGGCTAAGTTGGTTATTGTAAAAGTGTTACTAGCCTTGGCGTCCATTCACAATTGGCATTTAGCTCAACTAGACGTTAATAATGTCTTCCTTAATGGTGATATGTTTGAAGAAGTGTACATGGATTTACCACTTGAGTACAAGTGTCAGGGGGAGCACTCTACTTCTATTAGCAAGTGGGTTTGTAAGTTGCACAAGTCAATCTATGGCTTGAAATAGGCTTCTCGCCAATGGTACTCCAAGTTCTCACACTCTTTACTTCAGTTTGGCTTTAAGCAATCCAAATCTGACTATTCCCTATTCACTAAAGGTTTTGGTTCTTCTTTTGTTGCTTTATTAGTTTATGTGGATGACATTGTTCTCACCGGGCCTTCTCTTGATGCAATTAGTTCTATCAAGGCCTTCCTACATAGTTCTTTTAAGCTGAAGGATTTAGGACCATTAAAGTACTTTCTTGGTTTTGAAATTGCCCGGTCCTCACATGCAATAGTTCTTTCACAACGGCAGTATACTTTACAGCTTCTGGAGGACACATGTTTTTTGGCATCTAAACCTACCTCCCTTCCTATGGACCCCAAACTCTCACTCATTGCCACAGCTGAAGATCTTCTCCAAGATGCATCCCAATATAGGCGTCTCATTAGTCGTCTTCTTTATCTCACCCTCTCTCGTCCAGATATTACATTTACAGTGCACAAGCTTAGTCAGTTTTTATCTCAACCTCAGATCCCTCGTTTACAAGATGCACATAAGCTTCTCCGTTATTTCAAGTCAGCCCCTGGTCAGGGATTATTCTTTTCTTCCATTTCTTCTTTGTAGCTCCGTGCTTTCTCAGATGCTGATTGGGCTTTTTGTGCTGACACCAAGAAATCTGTTTCTGGTTTTTGTCTGTTTCCTGGTGATTCACTAGTTTCATGGAAAGCAAAGAAGCAGACCACCATATCTCGCTCCTCTGTTGAGGTAGAATACAGGGCCTTGGCAGTCACCACGAGTGAACTTGTCTAGATTAAACAATTGTTGAAAGATTTTTGTGTTACTCTTTATGGTCATGTTCTTCTCTTTTGTGACAATCAAGCTGCGTTGCATATTGCTTCTAATCCAATCTTCCATGAACGTACAAAGTACATTGAAATTGACTGTCATTTCGCCCGCGATAAAGTTTCTACTGGCTTTCTTAAGCTCGTGTCGATCAGCTCCAGGCATCAGTTAGCTGATATGTTCACCAAAGCTTTGCCTTCAACGTTATTGTTCCCTTTGTTATCCAAGATGGCTATTAAAAACATTCACAGTCCATCTTGAGGGGGAGTTTTAGAGTTAGTTGGTTTGTTAAACTTACTCAGTAAGTTTGTTAAACTTACTCAGCAAGCTTGTTACTTAGTCTATATATAATGCTGAGGTTGTGTAACATTATTTTTGGATGAATGAGATATTCATTTTCCATTCTTTTCTTCTCTTTTGCTTCCGTAATAACATGCTTTTACATTTTTAGTGACCCTTTCCGACGACGAAAAAAGCGTGGTTTTAACCTTGTCTACAATTCCTCTAGCGTATAGATATCTAGCGAAATTGTGCATCCAAATCGGATGTTCATCGAGGCAATAACTAATCATGTTTTACTGCAAGACTGACAGAGACCACCTTCTTTTCTTCATAATGAATGATGGGATAAATCTCATCAAACTTTCCTTTAGGGCTCTAAGGGTATAATCAGAAGAAATGAGTTGAATGAAGGACATGGAATCGAGGACAACAGCACCGAGAAACGAGGCATAAGTGAGTCCGATATCAAACTCATTGAGCTCATGTTTTTCAATGAGCAAGAATAATACAGAAGCTCCAAAAAGGAAACAAAAGCTGATAATGCGAAGAATGTACCCGATTATTCTTCGATGCTTGGTAACAACCACCTTGGTGTGAAGAACCTCGTACAACATGCTCAGCTCGTACTCTACTACTCTGAAAGCAGTGGTGTGATCGAGTTTCAAAAATGTTTTCTGAGAGAATCATCCTGATTTGCGGCTCACAAATTTATCTACAATCAGCCCCTTGAAGCTTTTGAAGAGTTTGTATGCTAACTGCAGTGATTATGTGTCACTTAAGCTTTTGTAGGCCTTGGGACACTTGCTGCTGCTTCTTCAATATCAGATACCTTCGGATCAGTGTTTGATACTGTCCTCTCTTGAGATTCTTGATCAGAGTTTGAAGAATGGTGGCCAAGAGCATCTGACTAATTTGGTAAAGAAGTACTACTAGGTCCGAAATGATCGGTGCTCGCAAGGTAAAGAGCGCAAGTTCTCTCACCATACTTGACAATCCCCACAATGAAGACCAACATCGTGGGGAGCCAAATCTTGTTGTTGGCACTACAACAAAGGGGGCTTTTGATAACTTTTAGTTATAGCATTTTTAAAAAACCGTTATTAAAACTTATTTTGATTACATTTCATAGCATTTCAAAAAAATTATTTTCAGTATACATATATATATTAAAAAACCATGAAATATTTTGGCAGGTTGATAGCTTCCCCCTAAATTTCCACTTTACTCACGAATGTTTTGGAAGATGCACACAATATTGAGTTTGATGACATGTGAGAGGCGCACGTGTAAGATTTTGAGGAGGATTAAAAAGATTGCCACCATATCTGAACGAAAAAAAAAGCTCAGGCATTTTTAACCAAAATTATGTCGTTTTGGCAGAGCCATTTTGGTAGCCCAAAGAAAAAAAAGCTCAGAATTCTTTCCACACAATGTAAAACCTCCTCGTTCGTGCAGCAAAGGACTTCTCCTCGGATTTAAGTTTTATGAGCTTTGGGTCGTTGTTCTCTTCATTTGTCTGTAAAAGTTAGGGTTTTGATGTTGCTGTAACGAAGGTATGGCTTGATTGTTTCAGCTTCTTTCTCCTCAAATTAATCACGCATCTGTTGAAGTGCAACATTCCCCTCATTCAAAATTTGGGTCTTTGATCTGTTGAAGTTTGGGCCGTTCTTCTCTTCGTTGCTCTATACAAGTTTGGGTCGTTATTCTCTTCGTTTCTCTATATGAGTTTGGGTTTTGAAAGAAGATACCAAGGTTTGGCTTGATTTTGTTCGGCTCGTTTCTCGTCGAATCACAATTTTCTACTCTACTTTTGTTTCGATTCCCTTGGTTGCATCAATTATGTAGTGATGATTTGTTTCTTACTTTGAAATTCGTTAGATGCACAAGAAAACCCCCAATTTGTAGGTTATAAAATTTAGTATTCCTGTACAGAACATAAGCTTTTGTTGTGTTTATCTGAATAATGTGCGTGAAAGAAATTAGATTTTAAATATCATGATTGTTGATTTTAAATTTCTTGAAAAGAACTCAGGTTGTCTTGATTTTACGGAAAAGAATTAGTCAAAATCTGAAATTAGGCACCTTAGTGGCTGTTCACAAGCACTTTAGTGGCCCGTCTGTTGATAAGAAGAAGAAAAACATGTTGAAACTAGTTATTCAGCAGCCAAACTATTGTGCTCTTTTATCCCTATTTTTTTGGTTGTGCATGTCTAATTTTTTTCAGCCAAACTAGTTATTCACTCACATTTCAGTTTTCAGAAGAAATCATCCCTGTTTTCTTTTTCTGTTTTGGTTTATCCTTGTTTTTTTGGTTGTGCATGTCTAATTTTTTTCTCGTTTTTGACAGATTTGTAATTGGTTAGGTGCTCTCCTCAAAGAGAGGAAGGTATGCTATGTTTATTCCGGATTCTCTTTCTCTAATTGTTCTGTACATTTTTCAATGTTTGGTCTTTTCAACCATGTATTGATGTCAATTTTGTTTCCCATGCTCTTATTGTTTGCATTCTTGTCTTCCTAAGAATTGTTTTCAACTTTTGATGTATGTGTTGAGTGATGTATCAATTAGGTTTTTTGGTATGGTATTAAGTTATTTATCTAACCCACATTATTAGTTTTTTTTATTTGAAATTGATGGTCTAATAAATTTTATTTCTTAGTTACAAATGTGATAATTAATTTAGCATTATGTTAATTATGAAGTCGATTGATTGATGATGTTAGGATGATTGAGGAAGATTGGGTGCGTGCTAATAGGTGCGTAAGATTAGAATTTGGTTTTTCCGTCTATTACTCATTGTAGTTATAGAAATCTTAGAGCTGACCTTTTTATTTATAGACTTACTGAGGAGTATATGCAAAGCGCTCATAACTTTGTAAAAACTGCTGAAAAGAATTTTAGTTATCCGGAGAAGCTATTGTGCCCTTGCAAAGAATGTCGAAACTTAAGTCATCAAAGTGGTAACATTGTTTATGTACACTTGGTAATCAATGGTATGGATCCAACATACACCACTTGGTTTCATCATGGGGAAGAAGTAAACACAAATGAAGAGTTAGAAAACGTTGAGAGGAATGACATAAATGAGTTATACAAGGCTGCCTATGCCGATGAGAATGATTATATAGAACAATCTCAAGAACATAGGTTAGAGGAGTTAAATGAAAAAATGAACGATTGGTTAGAACCATTATGTCCTGGTTGTTCAAAATACAACAAGTTATCTGCCTTTATTGCCTTATTCAAGCATAAGACCATGACGGATGGTCTGATTGTACTTTTGATGGATTGCTAGAGTTATTGCATGACATGTTACCCGAACCCAATGTGTTGATAAGGTCGACGTATAAAGTACGAAAGTTTATGAGAGAATTTCATCTAGGGTATGAAAAGATTCATGCTTGCCTTAACGATTGTTGTTTGTTTAGAAAGGATAAGACAGATCTTGATAAATGTCCAAAGTGTCATGCTACAAGGTGGAAGGTTGACAAACATACCAAAAAAGCTAAAGTCCGTGTTCCTGCTAAAGTCTTGAGATATCTTCCGATAATTCTTAGGTTCAAGGCTATGTTCAAGAGTGAAAAGATGGCTCAAGATTTAAGGTGGCATTCCAATAATAAAAGCGATGATGGAAAGATGCATCACCCGGTCGACTCTCCAGCATGGCAACTAGTGAATGTAAAGTGGCCTACATTTGCAAATGAACCACGCAATCTTAGACTTGGATTGTCCATAGATGGATTTAATCCGTTTGGTAATTTAAGCTTAACTTATAGCTGTTGGCCAGTGATGCTTGTGATATACAACTTGCCACCATTTTTGTGCATGAAAAAGGAAAACATCATTAAAGGCCAACCAAGCAAGATTAGACTCACCAGCAAGCAAGGAATACTAGAAGTGTTGCTTAGAAGCTGCTTCTTAGAGAAGATTCTCCTAAATTTGAACAGTGTGGCTCAAATGTTTGTGAAAACAATAGCATAGGTGACCCAATTGATAGGAATGAAGCATTCTAGTCACCAATAACCTCACCCACTGCACCTTCTAGGAGGTCTCTTAGACTGCAAGGAGTTGAAGCTTCTCCTGAAAATAACAATCCAACTCAAAACCATACAAGAGAGTGTGCACCAGAACCTGAGGAGACACCTATTCAGAGGTTTCGTAGACTGCAAGGAGTTGAAGCTTCGCCTGAAAATAAGACTCCAACTCAGAGGAATACAAGTGAAGGTGCACAACCTGAGGAGACACCTATTCGGAGGTCTTGTAGATTGCAAGGAGTTGAAGCTTCTCCTGCACCAGAACCTGAGGAGACAACAACAGAATCTATAGGAAAGTCTAAAAATCCAAATGGAAAGAGAGGGAAGACAAAGATGAAAGGAATTGCCTTAGATGACAGCGATCCAATTTCAGTGTGATTCAACGCAATGGGCCAACCAATAGGTAACGGCTCAGTTAGCTTGCCTTCCTTTCTAGGGCCACTTGTTAGGGAGATTGTTCCCGTAACCATTAATGATTGGAGAAAGTTACAACCAGGGATGAAAGAAGTGCTTTGGAAAGCTATCCGGGTATGCTTAAGACTGTACGAGAGTGCATTATAGTATATATCTTATACTAACACGTATTTGACAATTACAATATTTTTGATGCATTGTAGGCCAGATATAAAGTGGATAAACAATGGCAGAAGCATCAAATATTCAAGAACATGGGTGCAATTTGGAGGGCCTCAAAATCAAGATTACTTTACCAAGTTAAGAAAGCCAAAAACGAAGAAGAAAGACTAAAATTGAAGCCTGATAACATCAAATCAGTTGCAAAGTGGAAAGCTTTTGTAAGGGAGAAAACAAGTGCAGCTTTTCAGGTATAATTAACTTAAAAACCTATTGTTTTCTCTCGTTGATAATTCTAATATGTAGTCCATACTTATGCATATGGTGTTTTCTTTAATTTTTTTACTAGGAAAGGAGTCAAAAGTATCAAAACATGAGGAAGAAACTACTTCCACATACAACCAGCCGCAAAGGATAAGCTCGCTTGATTGAAGACATGGTACATTCATAATTATCCTTCTTATTTTACAAAATTTTGAAGAATTTTCTTTCAATGTTGTGAACTTGAGATTTCTCCTTGTAAAATGCAAGTAGTTCGAGCAAGTCTCAGTTAAATAGAGTAGCAATTTGGACAAAGGCACATAAAAAAAAATGGTGAACCTGTCAATTCAGCAGTTGGTGAAGTCATTGAAAGAAAAACTTTAGCTTATCGTATTGTTGTATATCAATTTCTATATTGATGTGCTTATGCTTCTATGCTTTTGCTCATTGTTAGGATAGGAAAATTTGGAACAAATACAAAATGAAAGACCCACTTCTGATCAAAGTGATTTGCTAGATGATGCTCTAGCTTCTTACTTTGGTCCTGACCGGAAGCAATGGGCCTTGGGATGACTAAGATAAAACATTCTGTTTTGTCAGAACAGGATGATCACTTGTGGGCTTTACAAGATAAATGTAACAAAACAGTAGCGGATGTCAAATAATTGAAAGAGATAATTTCTCTATTGCTGAAAAGTCAAGTAAGTGGCATCAGAAGTGAGGATCAATCTAATGCAAACGTGCATTCACTAGTGGTAAGCAATCAAAGTCAATTGCTTAACATTGAGTTTTTAAACGGGATGAAATCAAGTTTTTCATATACTAACGTTTTTTATTTGTAATTGCTTGTGTTTATTGAATTATTGTCAGAGTGAGTAATAATTTACCCAAAATGACCAATAAGAGTAAGCTATTAGATTGGGTTAGAACCGGAGAAGTTGTTGCTGAAGGGCGTTTGATGCCAAGGGACCCGAAAGACCTCGTTCACCATGTACCTCTTGGACCGAATGCAGTTAGACTGTGGGTGAATGTGGCAAAAAAACTGGACGCTTTCTTGTGGAGGTCAACGAGTGAGATGAGTACCATTAAAGAAGTAATTTCAAGTAATGTGGCACGGCCTGCTGATAAAATTTTAAAGGGGTATGAAAAATCTCTACTAGCTGCAAATTTGTTTTAAGCAAAACATTATATGATTGTGATAGCAAATTTTTTTTTCTCTTCGGATTTAAATGTAGGCAATGAAGACTCATGCTTGCTCCAACTATCTACATAACAATACATGTAAGATACTCCCTGTCTTACACGTTTGACATTAAATTTTTGCCTAGTGCATCATTGAAGCCATGTTTCCTCTAACTCACTACAAAACATATGTGGATGTGGCTATGTAGTTGTGAATGGTGTAACTAGTCCTTGCTTTATTTACAGGTTAAAATAGTGGAAGTTTTAGCTGAGTTTGATTATTGTTTTGATAGTGGATCACTTTCTTACAGGTTAAACAGTGGAGATGACTTTTTTGTTGAAACATTTTGTCAAGATGGAAGGATTTACTTCACCATTTCATTTAGCTAGACGTTTTGGATACTTTGATATCTCTAGCTATTCCTTCGTTTTCTTTACTTGTTTTGAATGTTAAGGTTCTGGACAAATTGTATGACTTATGTCGTAGACATGATCTTATTGCTAACTTAGTAGATACTGATAACAATTTATACGTTGAATGTTTTTATGTGTTAATTTGAATGTTCTTATTTGGATGTAAGATGTTGCTTGAAATCACCATCTATTTGAATGAATTCAAAAGGATATTAACATAATAAAAGTATATAGGACGTTAGTATGTATTACTTTTACTATTGGTTAAATATTCAATAATAATTTTAATAAGCTACAAGAGTATGAACATAACAAGAGAGAAAAGTTATTGATTTGTACCGTAACAATGTCAAATAGCTATAAGAGACTGAAAATAGCATGTCTAAAACGTTATAAGACCTCAATTTTGTAGTGTTTCTCATATCGTTCTTAGAACGCTACGCTTTCATAGGACTTTTAATGGAGTCCGATGTCCTAGCGCTCCACAAAAGGCTATTGATAGTGCGTAATAGCATTTTTTGTTAGCTATTGATAATATATTTGTTGCAGTGTGAGAAGCGTGAAAAGACGCTATAAGCAGCAGCCAGGCTCTTCAAAGCGAGCCCTAGAAGGTGTCTAACCCAGAACTTGTTGTCGTCAAGTGCAAAAGAAGTGATGCTATCGGGGCCGCCGAGATGGAGCAAGAGAAATGAAGCCCAAAATGCGAATAGGTCGTCATTCCCCTTGGGCGGGTCACAAATATCGCCTTGGCTTTTGATGAATATTGCACCAATGGTAATTGCAGCCACCCAGTCCACCAGCAAGTAGGCCGACCAGATGAGAAAGAGCACCAACGCGAGTTTGGATCGGCGCCTGCAGGAGGCAAATGACACTAAGAAAGTCTGCAGGAAGAGGCTGAGGATAATGCCACCACGGATTTGCCATGCATCCCATAATTTGAGCAACTTTTTGGGAATTAGTAGTTCCATATGTATCATGTATTTTCCGAGGCTAGAATATGTCTAAGAGAGGTGGATCATGAGAAGTTTATGGTGATGAGGAAAAACAAGGCTCTGCGTGGTGAGGTACTACTAGCTAGTGAAAAATTTGGTATGTTTTTTTTTTTTTTTTTTTTTTTTTTTTTTTTTTTTTTTTTTTTGAAGGAAAATATGATATTAACTATCAGTAAGTTCTAATGTATCTGTGTTTAGGGAAGATATGTTGGAAAAGTTTGAAAAGAAGTTGAAAAAAATAAGAATTAAAATTGAAGTGGATTAATACATTGGATTTCTCAAAAATAGGTGGTGTTTGGAAAATAAAGCGAGGGATTGACAAGGACTAGCTAGGAGCATGCAACGCAATTGGTATATCTATATAAATATATGGGGATACAATTGGTACTTTGGCGAGATTATTGCAAGTAATTTGACATTTAGAAATGCTTTGGCAGCATAAACTTGTCGAAGCAAATCGTGTAAAAGTAGATAATACTTGTCTTAAGCTAAGATACGTAGTCAAAAGAGCAAATTAAAAATAGAAAAGATAAGGGGACAGAGAATAATGAAGTTTCATGAGAGTGTCGGACAACAAGAAGCAAAGGAAAAAGAACAAAGAACTAATATTTAAAGACAAAACAGAAAGAGATTATAGAAAAAAGAAGATGGACCATGAAAACAAGCATTACATTCACTCACGTAAAAAGTATTTCGTTGCCTCTTTATTCACGAGCATCAGATTTCATCCAAGGGGGAAAGAGACAAAAAAAAATAGGGAGCCATTTTGTTCTTCAAAATTATTAGCATCCCCACGGAACCCATCCGTTTCCTTGGAATTTTATATAGTACAAATTTTATATTATCACCCCCAATTTTTAGGACCATAATTGATTAATTCAGGGGACAATAAAGTTAAGATTCTAAAGCAAAATTGATGCACAACAGTTTGGTTGGAATTTCAATTTAAAAAATAAAATAAAATAAAGAGATCCACTATGGTTCCATGGTTTAATCAGTGGATTTGATCCAAAACCATTGATGAAATAAACTGATCCAACACCATTTATCTGAAAAAATACACATCTACACGCATGCAAAAAATAACCTGAAACAAAAAATAACAGAAAATAAATAATACAAAGATTTACGTGATTCAAAAAATTTATAACTACGTCCACAGGAGAGGTCATAAAATTTTCTAATAGTTTTAGAATTACACACTAAACTTTCTCACTTTCTCACTGTACCCAACACCGCTTCTACCCTTATCTATCTCACTTCTCACTTTCCTCTCTTTTTCTCAAAAGAAGGCACTCTTTCTATAATTGCACTCGAAATGTATGTTTTTTACGCATGTGTTTCAAAGAATGTTATAACACTTTCTGTAACACTAAAGTTTAACTATAACGATTATGTGCAGAAACGTCAAAGTAATCAAGCAGGAAATAATAGTTCATAAACATAAAGAACACTAAGAATTGGTATCGCAATTCGATACGCACACCTATATCTGCAGGACCATGCCCAGACAATGAACAATCCACTAAGTCTCAAGATTACAAACACCAATCGGATTTATACACCCAAAGACTCCCTCCTTGATGTTGTCGCCACCGTGTTGAATCTCCTTAATGGCCTTGAGCACTTCTCGTTTTCAAACTGCACGGCACACCAATCGGACTTATACACCCAAAGACTCCCTCTTTGATGTTGTCGCCACCGTGTTGAATCTCCTTAATGGCCTTGAGCACTTCTCGTTTTCAAACTGCACGGTGAAATCCCATCGACTGACAGTGCGCTTCCCCCCGAAAGTTTCTAATCCTTCTCCCGAAGGACAAACTCAATGAACACTCTTGAAGGCTCACAAATGCACAGACTTTTTTTTTCTGAATATGTTTCCGTAAAACTGTGGTGCAAAATGAGTTGAAACAAAACCTTAATATAAGGTTTCAATCTTTCACACGATCACTCATATTTTCCTCCTCGATTCTCTACAAAGGAATTTCCATGATTTTCTCTCAACAATCTTGTTGTACCTTATCACCACATTAAATCTGGTCTCGAATACTAATTAGGTTCAGATTCTCTTTTCCAATTTTGGTTGTCAACCAAATTCTAACACACAGATTGATATGATTTCTACTACGCTAACTAAGGACTCTCACATGCAAGGTAGGTCTCCAATAATCAACTCCTCACATACTACAATCAACTCATTAAGACAATCAATCTTATATTCTTTCCTCAAATATCTCTCATCAAATGCACTTATTTATAGACGGCTAATAGGCCATAAAATGACCCTTAACTTATCAAAAACACAAATAAAACTAATTACACCAAGCTATTTTCAAACTATATATAGGGTAGAGGCTCTTTCCACGCTATTACGTACATACTTAGCTTATCTAAATTAAATAGCTATCATAAAAAAGCATGGATAAAACGGCTCCTTTTAAAAAAACCTGTACTGTTTTTCGCCTAAAATTAGCTAAAGCTTGATAGACATACATGGTCTCTCATATTCTTAGCAAAGGCAGTTAGATTACTGATAAACTTTCTTCTCATGCAATTCAATCGGATTATTTTCCGACATGGTGGTTCAACAGTGATCTTTCCGTGCAGCCATTGTCCTAATTGAGTTTTGACTAGAAGGTTTTAATGAGGAATACGTAGAGATTTATAAGGTGTGAGTTTTACTCTATATATCCTATGGGGATCTTTTCCAGCTTTTAAGGCTTTTATTTAACATGCTTTTCTTTCTTTATACGTTTTTCCCAAACTTCTTGTACTTTGTATTTTTTATTCAATAAATATTTGGTGATAGCTGTCTTAGGATAAAAATTCTTGGAGTATGTCAATTTTATTGAGATGTCCTTGATTCCTTTTTTATGTTTATCGTTAGGCTTGGAAAGAGTTTTCATTATGGAATGGCTTGACCCGAGGAGATGAAGGTTACTCTTGTTCCAGTGAATACAACCTATTCTTTGTGACTGCTCTGCGGGCTCTTCATTTAATAATAATAGTTGTAGGGAGAAATCTCACAGTCCACATCAGGCACTAAATGAGCGCCACGTGCACAGCTGAAAAATTAGGGGCCATGCTAACTCAGCATCAAGTATTCGCAAAGTGGAACTTGGAAGAAGCCAACCGCAAGATAACAAAGGAGGCTGACCATGCAGAGGACTAGAGATGGGTAAGAAGCTGACTCTACAGAGGCATCAAGATTGACGAGAAGTCGACCGCTCTAAATAGACGTGGGTAGAGATGGTTTGATAAGCGCCTAAAGAGCTGATTGCATGCAGCCCAATAAAGAACTAAACCTGCACGATATCTTACGTGACTCGCAAGCAAGGAGAGTTGGTAGGGGGAGCAGGAGAGAAACTACTGTTGACTGGCAGCCACTCCACCCACCAACGACTACATCCAAAAGTATGAGATGATGTGATCGAATGTAATGATGGAAATGGCAGAGGTTGAGGGGGTATAGAGTAAATATATACGTGAAGAAAGGGTGAACCAGGGGGCTCTCGGACTTTGTAAGAAAAACTTGTGCTCTCAAAAGATAGTGAAGATTTTTCCCTCTTCACAGTAGACGTAGCTCTTGAACAACAAAAATGAACTACTATAAATTTTGTTGTTTTTTCTCATTGATTAGCTTTATAAAACCTCCACACAGCACAATTAAGCTACTAAAGTCACGTTAATCATTTCTAAACTTGAATTAATCCAGTTGACGAATGTCTACCATCAATAATAATAATAATAATAATAATAATAATAATAGCATTTTAATTATGTTGGCATCCTAAGCTACTCAATTTAAGGAGAACCATTGTGGATCATACAGCCCCGAAGATGCCATGCATCCCATAACTTCATCAACTTGTTGGGAATCGGTAACTCCATATGTATAGATTTTTACTATAAGCTACAAATTTCTCTCGGTTTTTTTTTTTTTTTTTTTTTTTTTTTTTTTTTTTTGAGTGTAGTCACTGGATAGTATATGTTGGAAAAGTCTGAAATTGAACTAACAAAAATAAAGTACTTAGGAAAATGAGATTCAAGAGGGTCTAGGTAATGCATGTTGTTATGACTCAATTTTTTAGAAACTTGTACATATTAAATAATTTGGTTTGATTACAATTGCTTTTGTGATATGTCTGTTAATTATCTGTTAAGTATTGTTGCAGTGTCAAATAGGGCTTTGGTGAGAGTGGGAAACTCTTTCTTTTTTTCTTTTTTTCTTTTTTTTTTTTTTTTGCTAGTAAAAAAAAAGGTCTTTGGTGTCCTCACACCCACACCCAATACTTCAACTGATCCCACTGGTGCAATGGTTAAAGGGCCTAATCACTGGCCCCTTACACCCACCACAAGTGAGCATTGCAACTTTTAAAGGCGATGACTCTTCTTGCAAGGACACATGCACAATGTGCAACGTGTGTGTGGGCACACATAAGACAAAACAGGTTAAACACTCAAATTTCTATAAATACCAACGCATACACGATGTGGAATTTTTGGAGAAAAATTTGTTCTTCCCTTACTCTAAGAGAATTTCGGCCATAATACATTATTAGGTCAAAAATTGTTTCAAAAATTGTCTCTAAAATTGTTTCAAAAATTGTCTCTAACTATTCTCTTATTTATAGAGTAGAAGTCAAACTTCAAGAATGAATCTAATCTCTATCTCCAAGATAAAGCTTGTCAATTATCTCCTATTTGACTTTGAAACAAAATCTCTCATTCCCTTATCCTTAGTGTGGCCGGCCAAGATAGGAGATTCTCATCCCTATGTGGCGCTAATTTCAGATAGGGAAGAAAGAGAACATCATCAATTATCCTGTAGTCCAATTTTGACTCAAATTCAAATTCCAATTAAGTCAAACTTTGTCTCTAAAATTGTGTCCACAATTTTCTACTATTCTCTTATTTATAGAGTAGAAGTCAAACTTCAAGAAGGAATCCAATCTCTATCTCCAAGATAAAGCTTGTCAATTATCTCCTATTTGACTTTGAAACAAAATCTCTCATTCCCTTATCCTTAGTGTGGCCGGCCAAGATAGGAGATTCTCATCCCTATGTGACGCCAATTTCAGATAGGGAAGGAAGAGAAAATCAT